GTCCTCCTTTTTGGTAACTTTATAAAAATAAAAAATGATTCGAACATTTCAAACACATCGTACAATTGGTGTGATTTTTTTTAATTTCTATTGTTTGTAAAATACATCTGCATTAAAACTCATTTCATTTTGGCATGTGAAATCATGGATTATCTCTCAGAAATTCACTCTACCAGCATGCACCACCCTTGCTTCCTCACTCTCTAATGTTAGGCCAATTTATACTTTTTCGAGCAATACTACCCAACCGAAATAGTCGTGAAAAGAAAGGCTTACTCCACCATCAGAGAGGCACTTAAAGAACAGGGGCTCCGTTTTCAGACTCTTCACCCAGCGAGACTTAGAGTGTTTCTCGACACAGGCGCAGTTATATACAATAGCGCGTCCGAAGCGATGGATGATCTGAAGAAAAGGGACTGATGCCGAACGGCGGAATTGGGACGCCGGTGGGAAAATGCGCCACAGCGACACACGAGACGAAGACACACCTGCCTGGGAAACGACAGGTGCTACATCGCGTCGTCATCGAGAAGCACGCATGAAACACATCCGGAGAAAACTAAAGGGATTTCAATGCAACGAAGGTGCTATGAGTGACCTGAGTAACTTTTGAAAAGGCCGGTAAGAGTATAGCCCTCACATTTCTACGTCGAACTGTATTTCCATAAGACCAGGCGAAATTTCATATTTTCATCTAATTTAGAGAAATTTATAAACTGACCACATCTGGGAATTTATGTCTGTTTTTCTATGTGGACTGTTCTGATTTTATGTAGTCAGAGATTTTCGTCCATGCTTAGAGGGACCCTTCCAGTGTAGGGCTTTCCCTCTTGTTTTTGAAGTTACAATTCATACTTCATAGATGGAGGTCACTAATTTTAAATGTTTGTATTCATGTGTTTAAGTTTTATTTCAAATCACAGACCGAAGTTCATTTGTTCAGGCCTTCAGGGATATTTTAAATGTCTTGGTAAACTTTTTTTTTTCTCTTCACGGTTGACTAAAATGCCTCATCAAAAATATAGAATATCACCCTTAATATAAATGGATTACATAATCCTATAAAAAGAAGTAAAGTAATCGCCAAAATGATAAGAGAAGAACAAAGCGCTTCTATGAAATATAGTGCTTTCACAATGGCCACCAAAGCACTTTACATATTGCCTCACTTTCACCCATTCACACACTCCTTCATACACCAACGGTGGTGTCAGCCATACAAGGCGCCATCCAGCTCATCGGGAGCAGCTGGGGTATGGTGTCTTGCCAATGGACACCTTGACACTTGGTCAGGTGGAACCGGGGATTGAACCACCAACCTTTCGGTTTGTAGACAACCTACATGAACCACCGAGCCAATGCCGCCCATTAAATTATATGCTCAACCGCGGACAACAGAGTCAGCTGCCATGTCATCCTTTCTAACATCTTTGGATTTACCATCTATAGGGACAGAGCAAAATAAAATAATAACCCAGGAGATAACAGACGATGAAATACTCAAGGCAATATCAAGATTGAAAACGAATAAAATGCCAGGTGCCGATGGTACCCATCTCAATGGTATAAAATCTTTAGGGAAACAATAACACCAATGCTCAAGAATTGCTTTAACTATGTTCTAGGAGGTGGCGAGACCCCGATGTCCTGGAGACAAGCAGTAATCTTAGTGATCCCTAAAATGGGAAAAAACAAAACCGATTGCAGCTCTTATAGACCTATATCAGTTTTAAATATAGATTATAGATTATACGCGTCAATACTAGCAAAACGATTGGAAAACATAATCCCGGATCTGATAGACACAGACCAGACAGGCTTTGTAAAAAACAGGCAAACCCAGTACAATGTAAGACGGGCTCTCTACCTCATTGATCATATGAGAAATAGTGACATGGAATCAGTGGTTATTAGTCTCGACACTGAAAAGGCTTTTGACTCTCTCCGATGGGAATATCTATATTTGGTCCTTAAAGGGATACTCGTGAAAAGTCCTCTTACCGGCTCCCGCTTCCTCGCTCTCCCCCTCCCTCTTATTTCCGTCAATGCAGCCAACGTGACATGCGACAAAGCGGGAGCCGGTAAGAGGACTTTTCACTAGTGAAGGTATTATTGCACCAAGTTGAAGTGCTCTAAAGCACTTTTTTATGGTATTCCGCCATACAATATAGTCATCAATTTTAAACGCTTACAAAAACACGTTTTATTTTGTGTTACCAGCCTAGGTCGAGTTACACTAATCGAGTAACTGTGTTTAAATAGGGAAAACGAGGAAGTGTTTTGTCACTGGGCTAAGCTAAGTGCTAACATAGTTTTGCGGCAATACAGAGCGATAGAGTGCACGCACTGAGACGAGAGAGGTATGCATCAGCTCTTCTTAATTAAGGGAATAACATAGTTTAATATGAAAACCCGGTGGAGTATCCATTTAAGCGCTTTGGTTTCGATGACCAGGTAATTAGATGTTTGAAATCCCTATACTCCTCTCCTACGGCTAGAATTAAAATAAATGGGGACTTATCCAAAACAATATTTCTCGAAAGGGGATGTCGACAGGGATGCCCCCTCAGTCCCACTCTATTTGCCCTCTTCATAGAGACTCTGGCGTGGGTAATCAGAGAAGGATATAACGGGGGTAGGCCTGTGAGGTACAGGTGAATGTGATCAGTGATGATGAGTCCGGGCAGTGAGTTCTGGGAAATGTAGTTGTGAGGGAAACATGAACATCTGGTGTGGAGTGCCCTCTGGTGACTCTCAAGGGCACTCCACCTGGTGACCGTTACAGAATGGAATAGAATTATCTCATCATTTATTTGGGGAAAACAAAAATCAAGGATTAGATTTCAAACCTTACAACTCCCCAAGGACAAAGGTGGTATAGCTCTACCGTGCTTGGAAGATTATTATAGAGCAGCACAGTTACGTTCTCTGGTTTGTTGGTGTGACCCTGAGTGTGATGCCAAATGGAAGGACTTAGAGCAAAGTCAAATAAGCGTACCTCTTCAATCTATTCTGGGTGGAAAAACTCTTCTGAAGAAACATCTGAACAAGCTAACTAATTGGATGACGTTTGGCAGAAACTACTCAAAAATAAGGAATTTGAAAGAAACTCACAAATATTACGTTGGGTGGAATATGATACAGAATTTAAACCAGCTAGTTTGGACAGTAGATTCAAGCAATGGACTAATTTAGGGATCACTTCATATTGCATGATATCCTCTACTGTAACTCATAGATACATACTACTTAGGGAAGGAAGATTTCTTCAGATACCTTCAACTGAGACACCACTTTGATAAAAATATTAAAACTACTGGAGAGAAGGGAACAGACCTGATAAGAATATTTATCAACGCATATAAGGATAATAATAGCAGAAAACAGATTTCCGAGTTATATTCATATTTACAGTCGGACAGGGGACTCTCAACAATGTATGTAAAAATGAGGTGGGAAAAGGAAGCTAACATAAAGATAACTGGGGAAGATTGGTTGAATATATGCAGAACACAATCTGCCACCTCTAGCTCAGGTCTATGGAGGGAATTCACTTGGAAAAACACTATAAGATTCTTTATAACCCCCAATATAAAAAAGTCACAAACCAATAATCCAGAACATGGTCAGTGTTGGAGAGTGTGGTAATATGTCGGCTGGTCACTATCATATCTTTTGGGAGTGCCCTGTTATTTCTTTCTATTGGGTAGAGGTTGCGACGGCAATTAAGTCAATAATCGGCTCAGAGCTTGAGTTTAACTTCACTGTTATGTATTTAGGAAATCTACCAACAGGACTGAGAAAGGCAGATAGATATTTGTTACAAATACTCTTAGCTGGTAGCAAAAAAAACAATAACAAGGAAATGGCTAAGTAAAGAATGCCCGACAATTGCTGAATGGATAGAAATAGTGCAGGAAATTTATGTTATGGAACATTTGACTTTCTCTCTGAGACATGCCAGGAGTAAATGTGAAGCATATTGGGAAAAATGGATATCTTATCTGAGTACAAACAGTTTTTTTTTTTCTCCTTGCTTTACTTGATGTTGAGCATTTCTGTTAACCTATGACATATTTGCCTGCTATTCCTTGGTCTGTCTGCCTATTGTTGTTATTGTTGCTGTTGTTGTTTCTTTTTTTGTCAAAAAACAAAAAAAAAATAAAGTTTAAAAAATAGAACATGCTTGTATGTGAAACAGAAAAAAAACTTAAGCACCTAGAAGAAAATCTATGAATATACTGACCTCTGGAGGAAAAATTAGGAATGTGGGCATACATTTGGACTAACCTACTCTATTTGTCTCATCTATCTATTCTACAGTATAATATATGCATTATATTAGTCACCAGTACTACAAGTTTTTTTTTTGTTAAAGGGAGGTTCATTTCACCATTAACAAACTGTTGTTTAATGAGCTTACCATTAACGCAGTGAAAGCAAACACTAAAACAAGTGGCAGATTTAAGTTGCCATTCATCAAACTATAATTAAAAGAGAAAAGTATTCCATGATTTCATTGGAGCTCTAATTGTCTCCACCTGCTTTTTTAAAGCAACACCCCACACAGTCTTTATTATAAATAACAGCAATTTGGGTAAGCTAGAAAGAGATAGAGATGTGGATCACTCTTCAAATCTGCCTGTATCTGTCTTTTAACTGTGTCTCTGCAGCTTCAGTCCTCAGTTCAGGCATCTGTCAGCTCCAGGGACACTTCAAATTAAATGGGATGTTCCAGGATGGAGATCTTATACTTGGAGGTCTGTTTGAGGTTCACTTCCTCACAGTGTTCCCAGAGCTGAGCTTCAGAATGGAACCGGAACCACCTTACTGTGAACAGTGAGTCTGAGACAAACTGGACAAGGATACCTATTTTTGTAAAAGACAAAATTAAGAAAACTATAACATAGCTGCTGAACTGTCTTGTTATAAATTGCATATACTTTTTTATTCATCAAGAATTACATATGGTAAATTAAATAATATTTTACCATATGAGAATGTTGGAAACTGTTTTATACCATCAATTCAGAAACATTGAAATATTATAATTTCTCTTGCTTTTTATAGGTTTGATAAGGCAAGTTTCCAGCAGGCACAGACTATGGCCTTTGCTATAGATGAGATCAATAAGAATCCAAACCTGCTTCCTAACATCACTCTTGGATACCATCTTTATGACAATTGTGTAAAGTTGGGAGTGGCATTCAGAGCTGCTACAGCTCTGGTTAGTGGGACAGATGATTCCTTCTCTAACCTAAACTGTGTTGGCCTACCTCCAGTGATTGCTATTGTGGGGGACCCGGGGTCTACTCACTCAATTGCAATCTCCAGTGTACTGGGACTGTTTAGAGTGCCTATGGTAAATGTGAATGTGAAATGCAATTTTTTATTTTTATTTTAATTGTAATACATACAAAAATATATAGTCTGCATATAATGCTTCCAAATATTTGTTTCTCTTTTGCTTGATTTATTTGCTGCTCATTTGTCTCTTCTATAAGGTTAGCTACTTTGCCACCTGCTCCTGTTTGAGTGACAGGAAAAAGTACCCCTCTTTCTTCAGAACAATACCCAGTGATGCCTTCCAAGTGCAGGCTATGGTTCAGATCTTGAGGTATTTTGAATGGACCTGGGTTGGTCTTCTCTACAGTGATGATGACTATGGCATCCATGCCTCTCAGTCATTCCACAAAGATGTGCAGCTATTTGGAGGTTGTGTTGGCTTTTCTGAAATGCTGCCTCGTGATAATAACAGTAAAGATATTCAGAGGATAGTGCGAGTGGTTCAGGCCTCTACAGCTAGAGTGGTGGTGGTGTTCTCCACCGAAGCATATTTGTTACCACTGATGCATGAGGTGGTATTGCAAAATTTGACAGGCAGACAGTGGATTGCAAGTGAAGCTTGGGCTACTTCACCAGTGTTTCACACTCAACGTCTTTTGCCTTTCCTGGGGGGCACACTGGGAATTGCTATAAGGCGTGGTGAGATCCAGGGACTTCGTAAATTTCTTTATAACCTCCGCCCTGACAACAATCCAAGAAACAATATGGTTCGAATCTTCTGGGAAAACATGTTCGGGTGCAGTTTTGATGCTGAAGGCAAAGAGGTAGAGGGAGAAAAAATGGGTTGTTCAGGGCAGGAAGATCTGAACTGCACAGAAACAGCATACACTGATGTTTCAGAGCTGAGGGCATCATATAATGTGTATAAAGCAGTTTATGCCCTTGCACATGCGCTTCATGACCTGATGCAGTGTGAGGAGGGCAGAGGACCATTTAGTGGAAACAGATGTGCTGAGATAATCAACCTGCAGCCCTGGCAGGTATAGCAGAAATACTACATGAACACAGAAGGGACACAAATAATTCTACATGTGTATACACACTATAGAAACACATATAACACCTGTCCTGCCTGTAACTTGTTCAGGTAGCCCATTACCTACAGAAAGTGAACTTCACCACTGGCTTTGGGGATCATGTTTCATTTGATAAGAATGGAGATGCTCTGGCCATCTATGATGTGATGAACTGGCAGCCGAGTTCAGATGGTGCGATAAGGGTCAGCACAGTTGGTGTAGTAAATGAAGGGGCTACAGCAGGGAATGTGCTCACACTAAATGACGATGAAATATTCTGGAATTTTGAGAACAAAAAAGTAATATATATATATATATATATATAATATTCATTTCAAAACTATAATTAATATACTTAACACACACATCACTAAAAAAGCGTGATAACAGATCTTGTGCCCCTTAGCCCCCACTGTCTGTGTGCAGTGAGAGTTGCCCCCTAGGCACCAGACGAGCCAGGAAGAAGGGTCTTCCCGTCTGCTGTTTTGACTGCCTGCCATGCGGAGATGGAGAGATTTCAAATACAAAAGGTAAAGAAGTCCTATTCCAAAATCTTAATATATATTTAAAGAAAATTTTTTATTCATATTTTGTTATACACATAGATGCTATTGAGTGCACAACATGTCCAGATGAGTTTTGGTCGAGTCCAAATAAAGATCGGTGTGTCCCCAAAGAAGTAGAGTATCTGTCATATGAGGAACCTCTGGGCATCTCTCTGACCACTGCATCTCTGCTTGGCACCTGTTTCTGCGCACTTGTGATGGTCCTCTTCGCTCATCACCGTAGCACTCCTGTAGTACGCGCCAACAATTCAGAGCTCAGCTTTCTGCTGCTGTTGTCACTCAAACTGTGTTTTCTATGTGTTCTATTGTTTATTGGCCGGCCACAGGTGTGGACATGTCAATTAAGACATGCTGCATTTGGCATAAGCTTTGTCCTGTGCGTCTCCAGCATCCTGGTCAAGACTATGGTGGTAATAGCTGTGTTCAAGTCATCTCGACCTGAGGGTAAAAGTGTCATGAAATGGTTTGGTGTAGCTCAACAAAGAGGCACTGTCATGTCCCTAACTGCACTTCAGGTTCTGATATGCATAGTATGGTTAACCACTTCATCCCCAACACCCTATAAAAACAGCCAGTATGTCACCTCTAAAATAGTCTACGAATGTTCTATTGGCTCAGTGGCTGGTTTTTCTCTACTGCTGGGATACATTGGCCTCCTGGCAGCAGTAAGTTTCCTCTTAGCCTTCCTGGCAAGAAACCTTCCAGATAATTTTAATGAAGCCAAATTCATTACCTTCAGTATGTTGATCTTCTGTGCTGTGTGGATTGCATTTGTTCCAGCATATGTGAGCTCTCCAGGGAAATATGCAGTGGCTGTGGAAATATTTGCTATTTTAGCTTCTAGTTTTGGATTATTGGTGGCCATATTTGCCCCAAAATGCTACATCATCCTTTTACATCCAGAGAGAAACACTAAAAAAGTCATCATGGGAAGAGCCACACAACATAAATAGTTTAGACATTTACATTGAGGAAAAACTAGACATTTTTACATTGAGGGGAAAAAAGAGAAAAGAACTATGATCATGTTTAGTCTCCAATATATGAATTGGGTTTCAAATGGCTAACACTTTATAATGGTTTCCCGCAACAAAAGCAAGACAGTGATGGACTTGATTGTATTGGCCACATTTAGACTTTATTATTAAAAGTACACTATTACTAAATAAACAAACAGAAGAACATTGTAACCAGATCTGTTTATGAACATGATAAGAGTAAAAACAAAAACAAGGTTTGGAAGATGGGTTTATAAGTACTCATTAAAATTTTGAACCAAAAATGTTACATAGTGTACTGTCAGAACCAGTAAAAAAGAGAGACCGTCTCTGGTAACCTATGGTCTCTGAATAGGGAACGAGATGCTGCGTAGCATCATTAGGTTGCGCCCCTCTCTTCCCTACTATAAGCTCAATTTAACAACACAAGCACCTTATTAAATATATTGCCATTATTATTATTGTAATATAAAGTTACCTCAAATGTGTTTGACTTTTCACTGTTTGTACCACTCCGCTTGTTCGTGTTTGCGCAACTTGCATTATTAAGCCAGAAGGCGGCGACAAGTGACTGTCTTAATAAGTGAGCAATTGAACCATTAGCTAGTCCAAAAATATTGATTAATTTAGGAAAGAAAAAGTAGCTGAAACTGATCTGTGATGCTCACACTAATTGCTCATATGCCTCTGGGCACAGAATGATTGCATTGGCGTTTGTTTGAAATGTAAATAATCCTTGAATCATTTCTTATTTGCCTTGTTGCCTTGGCTTTTGGCTTGCTTAGTTGGAGACATTTAATATTCAACAATATTATTGATCTGTGTTGTATTATTTTCATGTTATCACTGTGAAGATGCTTTGATACAATATGCATTAAGCGCTATATAAATAAAGGTGACTTGACTATTTAAGGACATTCCTATTTTGAATATGTGATTGTGTATTGTCAACAAATGCATAAACATTCTGCATTCCATTTTATAGTGTGGATCACTCATTGAGACATTTAAACTGCTTCTCATGTTAAAGAATCTGTTATCTGATCAAATAGGCCTTCATGCTACTGACCAGGGCCCGGTTCCCCGATAACTCTCACTCTTAGCGCGCTAAGAAGACTCAAAAAGATATATCTTACCTAAGTTGTATATATCTTCCTAAGTGTGTTCCCCGAAGTGTCACTTAGGAAGCTTCTTAACTTGCTCCTCTTACGTTCGACGTTACAAAGGCGCTGTCCCAAGTAAGGTGCTGAATTAGTTGGCATCGATTGCTCAGGAATCGATTTTCCACTTCACGCGAAGGTTTATTACGGCGTTAAGAAAGATAACATTCTATGCAAATTAAAAATTCCTCAAATTATTCGAGTAACATTTATTTTAACATTGTTTAAGTTATCAGTAAAATAGAGACTATTAATTAAATTATCAAATTGTGATATGTCAAAATGTTTGAAATGACGATCAAAGCAGAATGTTCAGAGAAGCGCGGGTCGCGCGGGAATCCCAATGCAAAGCTTCACGAGATAGGATGCAAGTGGCAAAACTAAACATCTATCAAAGCTCAGCTTCAGGTAGGGGATGTTTACATGTAAAGATAAAGAGACTCAGAGAAGAAGAACAAGAAAAGGAGATTGTGATAAGAGAGGAGAGGTAAAGCAATTCCCTATTGCATACTGTGCCCAGAATGAGAATAACTTTATTGCAATGGATTCCTATTTAACACAAATATACATATCCCAAGTTCTTTGACAATTACTGTGGAAAAATAATATGCCCCCGAACCCAAGATCACTTTTGGGACCTCTGTATTTATAAAACCCTGTGTACTGCTTTTGCACTGAATAGAAAATTATATTTTTGCAAAATACAATGAATTACAAGGCTGTACAGTAGAGTGCACTATTGAAGACTTATATACTGAGGTTTTAACTATATTATTTTACTGTAATATAGTCAGTGGGGAACTAAAGTGGGCATGTGGGTACAATGAGTCTCACTCCAGCCCTGAAACCTCTCACTCAAAGTGCAAACCTACACACCAAATCTCCAAAACCATAAGCAATTTCTCAGCCTTTGACTAAACCAAAAAACATCTAGAATTGACTTGCTTTTCTTTTCCAAACACACCAATCAACATGCTACAATTATTCACCAGGTCACGCAAACACTCCTCATATGTGCAAACTCTAATTGTTTACTGATCACTAACCAATCACCGCTTTACTGTAGTATAAGCCTATAATAGGTCAAAGGTCAGATTACCTGTTTTGAACAATAGATGCCAACAATGGACAGAGACCCCCAGACTCAATTGTGTCCTTTACTGTATTATAAAGAATATACTTTTGATTTACATATGTTTATGGTTTTGTTGTATAATGTATACAACAGTAATGTTTGGCCTAATGAATATTTTCTGTTTCTAAATTGCATTGGTGAATACTGTCAGTGTACTTGTTACCGATCTCAGAAGACTACTTTCACTGTAGAACATTGTATTGTATGCTGTTAAAGCTACTGTTTTCCATTTATTTTTTGGGACCTTCAAAACACCTTAAAATGGACATGTCAAGATCAGGAAAACCAACATTTTCTTGGGGGTTTCCCCAAACCCCCCTACCAAGATAATTTTGGACAACTTATATTTAGAAAACCCCTGTACAGGTGCGGGAGCACAAGGTATCTGTGTTCGCAGACCTGATCTCGAGAGTGTGCTAGGATTAGCCAGTCATCGAGATAATTCAGGACGCGAACCCCTTGCGAACACCAAAACTTTAAGATTAAACAAGACGGTTCATTTATATTATTGTAAACATTGGAGAAAATGTAAAGCGCGGTTTGGCGGAAACTCTGCTCTGGTTGCCATAGAAACATGACACGCGCTTGAGATTGCACTCCGATCGCACGTGTATTACCAGCAGGTTCTCAGCGCGTGTTATATTAACGATAACGGGTGCCATGTGAGTAGTATTTCGCCGTTTTGTCATATAGCGACCTATATGACGCTAAAGGATGAGAATGCGTTGGTATTACACACAATGTTAAACAGACCCGGGACCCGAAGTAATAGATTCGGACCCGACCCGGACCCGGCTGATCATTTAAAATACAGACCCGAACCCGTACGGGTCCCGGGCCGTCGGGTCTCGGGTGCACTGTGAAGACCTCTACCGCATACTGATATGCCTGCCCCTCGAAAGCAAACCGAAGAAACAGTCTGTGTCGAGGTAAGATGGAGACATGAAAGTAAGCGTCCTTCGCTGCAAACCGATCCTGGGGCCGAACATATTCGAAAATGCGTTTGGCCGTGAGCATCTTGAACGGCAGCCGTTGAAGGGTGCGGTTCAAAACGCGCAGGTCCAGAATTGGTCGTAACCCACCGGTTTTCTTGGGGACAATGAAGTAGGCGCTGTAAAACCCTGACCTCATCTCGGCTGGAGGGACAGCCTCGATTGCACCCTTCGCCAGCAGGGTGGCAACCTCCTCTCTCATGATCGGGGCATTGCCACCAACCATCGTAAAGCGGACTCCCCTGAAGCGGGGAGGAGACCGTTCGAACTGAATCGCATAGCCGAGCCTGATAGTTCCGGCGACCCTATGGGACAAATTTGGGAGCTCTAACCAAGCCCCCAAAAACTGATCCAGTGGAATCATCCGAGCCACAGCCGTCGGGGCAGAATATGTTTGATAGCCTCAGACTGCTTCTGAGCGGTCGAGAACTGATGGGCAAAGTCCTCAACCGCACCGGCGAAAAGGCCAGCCTGGGATATGGGTGCGGTTCAAAACGCGCAGGTCCAGAATTGGTCGTAACCCACCGGTTTTCTTGGGGACAATGAAGTAGGGGCTGTAAAACCCTGACCTCATCTCGATTGCACCCTTCGCCAGCAGGGTGGCAACCTCCGCTCTCATGACAGCCCCCCACCCCCACCCCGTGCCGTGCAATAGGTGAGTAGGAACAAGTGAGAGCTAACAGATAAAATAAGTGCAAAAATTGTTGTTTATTAATCAAATTAAACTATAGCTACTCCACCTTGATGAACCCCCCCTAAGAAAACTATAAGCTCCATTGGAACAGCAATACAAGTGTTTCTCACAAGATTTTAGGTAAAACTGTGGTAGGTGGACCTCTGTTTGTCTAGGGGGGTTCGTGGGCATGCTCCCCCGTAATAAAATTTTGTGTTCTGTAATGTTAAATTCAGCAGTCTGGTGCACTTTGAGAATTCAAAATTAAAAGCTCCAACCCATATTCAGGGTGCAAATTAAACAAAGAAAAATTTGAACCGCTTTTAGTTAGTGTCTGTCTACATTACACTAGGGGTGTCACGATTCTCCAAATCCTCGATTCGATTCCATTTTCGATTCTTAGGTCACGATTCGATTCTCGATTTTTATCAATCGGCCAATCAGGATGCTCTCTTCATTACATGTGCTTTATGCCCATTTCACACATACTCTGTGTGCAGTGCGTATGTTGCGGTGTGTACGGTACAGGAGCAGCACGCACTATAGTGCTTTCACATAAGCTGCATCTGCTGTGCGTAACTGATCCACGGCTGTACCACAAAACACAGCCTACTCACTATTTTTATTTCAAATTCAAATATGCAGCAAATTTTATTTAAAAAAAAAGTTGTGTCAGCATTGTGATTCTCTTTGTACACTTATACAAACTTGAATGGACGTATGCATGTTTAAACCCAATATAAACAACGTACTGTAGCTCTATAATTACATGCATTACTTATATTGGTTCTCAAGCAAATGGTCAAATATTCAACCATGTATATTAAAATCACAAAAAAATTAAAATAAAACTTTAAATTCACAAAAACAGCCGACTCTCCTCCTTTTCTTTTGCATTTAAATTGTAATACTATAAATCTTGCATGTCTCAAGGAAGTTGTTATTCTACCTCCACGAATGAGACGAATGTCGTTCATTATGACCTTGTTGAGGTAAATTGTAGTTTTCCTTGCTTATAACCCCGGTCT